ATGAAAAACACTTATTTTTCAAAATCTGCTATAAAACAAGCTCCCAAATGCATCTCTGGGTCTGTCAAATGGCACCGTCAGTGCTCAGAATCGCAGCCGTGCAGCGATCCGAGGGGATCCAACATTTGTACCCAAACTAATGACACAGATTATCTGGAAACATAAATAGCAGAAGATACAGAGTGTTGTTACTCCTCAATAAAAGGTGCACATGATTTGATTCTAATTATATTTAGTCCAAGTTGCTTCCTAACGACTAGCATTTGAAAGAGATGTCAACAATTTTCACTTTCTTTAAATGAAGGGTGATAGGCTTTTATAGCAGAGTATAAAGATATCAACTGGGAAATCTGTGGCCATCAATGGCTTTAGTTTTCTCCCTTTATCTGTTGGTATAGCCCTAATTTGACACTTGCCTGTTGAGGAAGCTTGTAAAGCAGCTGCCGACCCTGTTAAATTTAGATTAGTCTTACAGCTCACTTAAAGCCAGTATAGTGATAATTAAATCCACTCTTGAGCTGTAAACTCCAGAGTACCTGGAATTAACTCTATTCCTGCCATTGGCAATGTGGCTTCATTAGAATTGATACTGTCCCTTGCTGCAGGGACCCTCCAAACATGGGAGGGGAATATCTTATTCACCACACTTCCCAGATCCTGTGGCCTCCTCTGGCCCATGCAGCCCTGTGAAACACTGCTTCGTTGCTGCCACAAGGTGTTTCTGAGCCTTGGTACAAGGCTGATATGATGATACTTATCTCTGAATTCAAACCAGAGGTTACAGTGTGGGTCAAAACCATTCCTTTTATCAGAGAGATAAAGAGATAAACAGAGAGATGTCTGCTGTTGGGGCATCAGATAATAATTTTGTGTTATCCTTTCTTGGCTTCAACTTTGAAACAGCATTAGTCATTTGGGAACTGAAGCTCTCAGACTTTGGCTGAGGTTTCATTGTGTCCCTGCTGAGCTTTGCAGCTGGAGAGAGCCCAAATGCCCCATTGCTTTTGTCATCCATGAGCCAAATGTGCTATAGACCCATGGGGACAGCCATGGATAAGAAGAGGAGCTGGAAGAGAGTATTTCAGTCTGTCCTTCCCTCATAATGACCAGTTTCTTGGGTCATTTAATTCTGTCTCTGTATCCCTGGCATCCACACATGGATTAGGAAACATGGAGGGAGACAGCCTTTTCTCAGCAGAACCTTACTATACATCACTTGATTTGGAAGGATGCCTGCCACTTCTTGTTTCTTTGGTAGGGGAAGTGATCTAGAATACCCCAAAACTGCTTTCACATGTATCAATAGGAAAGAATTGCACATCAAAAAAGTCATGTGGAGGAGAACAGGTTTCAGGTTTGATCACTGTGACTCAGCAGAAAGCTTATGATGAAAAAAGATTTGAAGCACATTCAACGTACTTTGTTGTCTCAGTTCAAGTTTTGTCTGATTTTTTTTAATTTCAGAATTTTTCAGGCAAGCATTGGGTCATATTTTCTGAGAAGGTACTGCAGACACTCATCTGTCCTTAATCTTTCCCCTTCATCCACCACTAGCAGTATCTGCTAGAGCAGGAGGCAGGCAGAGTTTGGAGCTGAATCCAAATAACCATTTATTTTCTAAACTTATTGAGAAAGTGGCTGAGTAGTGCCCACCTTTGGTTTGATGCCAGCTTGGTGGGAATGTCCTGTGTTACATCCCTGTCCTGCCTGGATGTGAGAGGATGAGATAGCTAGATGGGAGGAGCAGTTCAATTTCCAGTGAAACTCCCTAAATTTAGAAGCCTAACCTCTAGGCTCCCCGTAGGGGCAGTGCTGTGGTCAGGGGAGCAGGAGACCCAAGACTACCTGGCTAATCCTAGGAATCTCTGGCGGAGCACAGTGGGCTGCACTGACAAGATCTCTGGTGATCTTTCGTGTGCTACATGCTCACTGTGCAAATGAGTGTCTTGACCTTGGGCCGAATTCTTTTATACAAAAGAAGGGTAAAATTCACACAAGTGACAGTCAACATAAAAGCTTCTGGAGCCTGGTGCTTGTACTGAATGCTTTGCAAAGCAGCAGTCCCTGATGTGAGGCAGCAAGAGAGAGATGAGCTGTTTAGACAAGGGCCATGATACATGCAGTGTTATTTCTGGAAGGCTGTTTAGTCACTGCAGTTCAGGGTGGCACAGAAGAAGTGCAAGCGTTATCAAAGGAAACGCAGGGCAGGGAAGGAATCCAGCATCCAGAGCTGCCGGGAGCTGCTCCTGGCTCGGGTCGGTGCTGCCACCCGCCGGGCTTCTCTATCCATGAGTTATTTTCCCTTTGGGCTTCCACTCCCCTTCATTAGACGGGAGTTCAAGGAATGACAAACCATCTCTGCCTGGGGACTTTATGTCCCTTGCCAGGGCAGTGGAAGCTTCCACCTCCCAGTCACCAGGATGGCATTTATCATTCCAATTTGCCCAAATGAAACCGGTGTTCCTTCTTGGGGGCCCCAGCTCAGGGGCTTCGTGGTGAAACCCTTTGTCCTTCCACTTTTGCCTCTTTGCAGCCTCACAATTCCCAGCTTCTGTCTTCAACCCTCCTGGCACCTGTCTCATCTTTAGCTGGGTTCATCAGAGAGAAAAGTAGAGAATGCAAAACATCCCAAACAGGGATATTTTAATGAGAAGTGGGAGCACAGGGAGACATGAGTGCTCTTTTAAAGTAACCAAGAGTTAGAGACTGTCCCATGCTATTTCAGGACAAAAAAAAATTTAATGCATTAGCCTTTCAAGAGTTACCAGTGCATCTCCCCTTAGCTACCTTCAAAAACACTTTTTAAATATTGAAAATTCCTCTGAACCTTCACTATGAAACTTTAATGGAGACATTCTCTGAGCCTGTTGAGAGGATTTCTCTGCAGCATATACTGGTTAATTTACTGAGCTTCTTTCTCCCCAGTATCTTTCTTCCCTCTCTCTCTCTCTCATACTAATCCTGCTCTTTGTTTCATTTTTCATTTCTTCTTCACTTTTGAACTAGAATTAATCAAACATTTCTAACCATCTTTTTGGGCCCCTCCAATTTAATTTTAGTTTTTTGATTTTTTTTATTTTATTTTCCACCCTTTTTCCCCTTTGGCTTCCACTTTAAATTGCCTCTTTTCTGTAATTTCAGATGAGTTCTTTTTCTTCTGCAGCCTTCTAAGTTTCCATGTTTCCTCTGACAGCAAAGTTCAGAAGCAATTGAATATGTTAAAATGACCAGAACAACTCATTCTCTTCCAGAATGGGCTTCCAACTGGGCTCAGGAGAACACCTAGCTGCTTAGAAAACTTGAGCAAACATAGGGTGAATATAGGTTAAGAAGAAAGTCTTCCAGAGGCTAATAACCTCCCTGGACCCCTTTGAGTGACAGTCTTCACATCAGTGGTCAGACATCTCAATTGAATTTAGGGGAGTGCAATATGGCATCTGTTTCTGAGGGACTTGTCTGACACCTTTATAACTAAAGGCAAGAAAGAGGCACTCTGGGGTATAATTCACTGGACAGAATTTAAATACCTGTTTGGATGTCAGACCATCTTCTTTTGTTTTTTATCTAACCTATCTAACAGAGCCTTGGGCAATAACTGTTTAGGTTTTTTTTGATGTGATCACTTACTTCTTGTGGTATTTTCTTCAAATATACAGATTATTCAGCACTTTTCTTGAGCTAGACGTTAGGCATGAATGCAATATCCAGTTAGTTCTTGTACCAAACTTGTACCAGCTGGGAATGACCATCTTAGAAGGCAAGAAGACTTCTGGTGATCAACTATCTTTTATTCTGAAAATGTAACCATAGAGAAAAGAAGAAGAAAGAACAACAGAATAATGTAGCAATTCAACTCCAGTGTCGTCTGTGCTCCCTTGAGGACAACTTCCAAGAAAAGTTTGTTAGTTCTGGTGAAATAAAGCAGCAATTACCTATTGCCTAAATTTTGCTTTTAAGAAACTCAGTTCCCAACCATCCTCACTGAAATTGTTCCCAAGGCCAGGGAGTGGGGTTGTGACACCTACACATCTGCTGGGTCACTCTGCTGCATCATGGGAAGCTGACCGGAGGAAGGCACCCAGATAAAGGTGGTTTGGTAGGTTTAGCAAAAACTGCACACTCAAGCAAAGCAAAAAAGAGGAATTTGTTCACTTTATCCCTTCAGCAACTGATGTTTTTCCACCTCCTGGAAACCAGGACATCAGCACATGCAAAGGTTAGTTGAGGAGACACATGCCATAACCATCAATGTCTCCCCTTTCTCCTGCTTCCCTTGAGCTGTTACTGCAGCAATTGTTGCTGTAAGGCAGGAAAGAACCCTTTGGCCAGACTGGGACAGTTGTCCCGGCTGTGCTCCCTCCCAGCTTCTTGCCAACATCCAGCCTACTTGCTGGTGGGGCAGAGTGGGAAAAATAAAAGTGCAAAGTTGTATAGGTGCTGATCAGCAACAGCCAAAACACTGGTGTGTTATCAGCACTGTCCTAGTCTCAAATCCAAAACTCAGCACTGTCTGGGCTCCTGTGGAGCAAATGATCTTTCCCAGCCAAGCCCAGCACAGGGAGTCAGCTAGCTGGTTCAGCATGTAGGCCAGCATGACCTGTTCTCTGAGCTCCCATGACAGTTCGGGGTGTCTCCAGGGGCTCAGCTGGCATGTGGAGGCCCACCAGCCCTGCACTCACCATTCCCCAAGAGGAGAGATCTCTGTAAGTCCTGTCCTGTGTCTGCCAGTCCCAAACCAGTGCCTTGGAAACCTCAGGAAGCAAAAGGATAGTGTCACCATGCATCTGCATTTCCTCTTGTGTTGATTCCCCTGCAGGGGCAGCTACACAAGGACCAAGGGATGGATCCTTCTGGATACTCAGTTCAGGGTGGTTCTGTCATCTTGAAGGCACTTAGCAGGAAGCAGCTGGAAGAGCACCCAGGAAAATCGCCTAGGAGAGAGGTTCAACAAATTGCTCTTAGACCCCATCACATCTTTTAGGTCCTGTTCCCTGCCCATTTCTAAATATCATTTCTAAATATCCTAAACTACTGTGGTTCATATATTGAGCTTTAATTTTTTTTTCTAGCATTTGCTATTATTTTACAAAAGATACATTGTATCATAGATCATTTTGCCTTCTCATTTAAAAACTCCAATAATTTAACCTTCCACTTTGTCATTCAAAAAGTAATAATTCTCTTCAGCATCTCCACCATATATAATTATTAATACATACAAAGCAGCACATCTTTGAGCTTTTATATCTGGCTGACAAATAAAGGTACTATCACCTCTCTGCCCAAATGCTTCACTTTCATATATCAACACAATCAAGTTCACTTCATTGATGCCAAACACATCTCTCAGACACATATTTCTCCTGACAGTGTTTCTACCAGGCTACAAAATGTTTCTACATGATCACAGCCTGGACATTTTTCTGATTGATAAAGATGTTGCAGAGTTGGGGTTTATTTGTTCCATCAGCTCTGAAAAGTCTTAGACTGGAAAACCAAATTTGTTGGAGCTGCTGTGAAGGCACAAAATAAATCCCTTGACTTCCTCAGCTAATAGAGCTTCTGATCTGAAACAGCTGCTTCTATTTCAGTCCTGAAGCCATTTCACAGTTTCAAAGAAGTGCACTGGGGCTGCCACATGGCTTCATTTCTCACTGACTCTTTGGAGTCAGCAGAACCAGCAGAGATCATCTAAGGAATAGGGGTGAATATTAATGAAATTGAGAAGTGAAATGAAGTAGGTAGAGAGCATTTGACCTGTTTTCAGTGGTCTGGACATTGAGGAAAAAAAAAATCAGGATTTCTTCTGATATTTGCTTCACTATTAGAAAGACAGCTGGGAGGGGAGAGGCTCTACCTAGAAGGAAAAAAATCTACTGTTGTATGAAAAAATTGAGGCTCAATCCACAGAAACAATTCCCGAAGCACTGGGAATAGATGAATCTAAAATACATGAAATACCATCTGAAAACCTTTGATGGTGATTAAAAATTATACCTTGAGAAATAATTAGTAGCAAACTGGTATGTAATATCTTTATTCCATTGGCTGGCCCATTTTATGATCCAAGCACTAACACTGTGAGACATTTCTTCATGCAGACAAATTCCTTGTGTTCCCAAACATGCAATCAGGTACATGTAGGAAGAGCTTGGTGGAAATTCATGTCATTCCTCTAGGAGTTACTCCCCTGAATAACTGTGCAGGAGCTTCCTCCAGGGAAAATCAGTTCTTCTTAGTGTCACTGCTCCTGGAAAAGCCTGCTTAGATATTAAGGCTTTGCATATGTATGAATGCCTGTGCTATTTCTCCATCTCTTAATCACAGTACTAAACACTTGAGCAGACCTGGTTTGTGCTGGATCACCGTGTCTGGATTGTCTATAAGAATGACTTCATGGTATGGAAATGGGTCTGTAAGAAGACATCTAGAAATATAGAGCTCTAAAATAGCAATTAAAACATAAATGAGCAATCCAGAACCTTCCTCAAGGGATGTAAGGAAATTCCAGATGCCTTTCCCTGCAGCTCAGATTATCTCAAAGGATTTTGAAATGAAAATGCTAATAACAGTCAAGAAAGCTACCAACTGCAGAATATAAAATCACTAATAATAACCTGAGCTCTGAGTTAAGTAACATTGTTATTAAGGCAAAAACATCAGCAGACATAATTTTTAAAAAATCCCTTCATATTGAGAAACACAGATAAACCATATGAGTTATGCAAATTTCTTTCTTAACCTGTTCCCCAGGGATACCAGTTTCTTCTGATTTCCTTGCAGTGATCATCTTCATTCAGTCTACCTCAAGAAGAGAGTCTCCAGCTGATGACACTGCCCAGAAGATGGCTGGACAAGGCCATGTGTCTCCAGTACTACATGTAAACTAACAGGCAAAAATGCCAGCTGCCTGCAACAAGGTGATGTTCTGCCTTGTGGGCATGAATCTTAGAACCAGGGATACATTTAGGTTGGAAAAGACCTCTAAGATCATTGAGTCCAACCAATAACCCAGCACTGCCAAGTCCAGCACTAAACCATAATAATTTAAAATAATTTAAAAACATCTCCATAGTTTTTAAATACCTCCCAGGATGGTGACTTTCACAACTCCTCTGGACAGCCTGTTCCAATACCTAACAACTCTTCCAGGGCAGAAATCTTTCCTAATACCCAATCTAAACCTCCCCTGGTGTAACTTTAGGTTACTTTGTCTTGTTTTATTGCCAAGAGCACATGAAGAACACATGTGACTGAATGTGTTAACAGACAGGAAAATACTTGTCCTTAGCTTGAACATGAGCCAACTTCCCCCTGGACTTCTGCTGAGTCAGTTCCTGTGGTCTCTTATATATATATATATATATATAGTGGTTAGTCTTATAGATGTCTTTGGGGAATCACCACATTGATAAAAAGTCATGGCATTTTATGTGTATGAACATTTGTGCCAGAAGGACAGCTAAGGTTGAAATGTTCAAATGCTCAGAAGTTAAGAAATGCCAGAAGTCAGACTGCATGAAAATATGTCAGTCTGGCCCTAGGATGGTACAGCTGGACCAAAAGTGATCCTTTGTATTTGAAGGACTGGGTCTGATATATTTTAATTTGAAAATGCATCATCTTCATATTCTATATTATGTCTTAAATAACAGATGAACTTGCCTCTAGCAAAAAAGCACTGAAGAGATGCAATGGATAGCTACTGTTCTTCTATTGCATCTTAAAAAAGCAATGTTTGGCTTTTTACAGGACTCAGCGTAACTGAAAAGTACATTCCCTCTGTATTCCAAGTACATAACCTCTGTGTTCTCTTATTTCCTATTTGTAGCTTCCTAAATTTTAGAAAGTAAATTTGAATAACTCCACCTCTTGCCACCCCATAAGCTGCTATTATTTTTATTTTTCCTATGTTTATGCCTCTCTGATAAAGTTTTTAACCACATCCAAATGGCCACTGAAGCAAGTGAACAAAGTTTTAAGTCAAAGCAAGTGTTTTCCTAACCACCCCCAGAATACCTGGTAAACCCCTTGTCTAGCACAAAAAAGTCCTAGTGCCCAGCCAGCCAAGAATTTGCAGCTTCTGAGTTTAGGAAGGAGGGAAAAAAGGGTTTATCTTTGCCATGAAATGCCTCCTTTCCTCCTGCTCAGCCAGCTGTGTTTTTACCACCACGTTGCCCAGGCTTGCTTTGAGGTTTGGCGCCCATGGTGATGAGAAGTGCTGCCTGCTGCTCCCGCTGGAGCTCCTGCCTGGCAGCAGCTGTGCACAGAGTGGGAGTTGCAAGGCAGTGAGGAAACTGCTGCTGCTCAGGGAAGAAGCTGGGAACCCTTTTTAAGCCAGACATGTACATTCTCCTGCGCTTATTGGGAGACTTGAGAAACTAGTTATCTTTTTTTTTCCACCTGTGGCCATCAGCCATAGCCCAGCGCAGAAGCAGGAAATACAGTGACATTTTTAAGTAGTGATTGGTGTTTGACAAGTCAAAGAGGTGCTGTTTCCACAGGAGACATGTCTGTTTCTTGTATTTCATGTATACAAATGAAGCACAAACTATCATTAAAAAAATGCAGCTTCTGCCAATTTTCATGTACTTAAAAAAAGCTGAGTCAAAATAGAGGGGAAAAAAATCTTATGCTTTTTAATTCCCTGTTTTGTTTGTTTTCCTTTTTGCTTGTGAGAGCTATTGAACTCTTTCATGTGTGCTTCTAAAAAACTAAAATTGTAATGCTGCTCAGATTACTTTGACAGCGTGTTATCTCTGGCCAATCTGCATTGGACTGAACTCCAGGCATCAGAGAGGCTGCTTATCCTGGGGCTGATTGAGCAGCTACAAGAGTGATGGAGTGATTCCCACCATATATTATGGAAACAGATCTAGGTTGCCACATACAAATAATTCCTGATGCTGGAAACTTCATCTTCTCAAAGCATCACCTGTAGCTCAAGAAAGTTACAGTTCTTTTTCTGCTCCTGTGGTTTCACAGCAGCAGAGATGGATATTCCTTCCATCAAGGAATTTTTTTAACTGAAACAAGTTCAAGAACAAACTGTTGAAGCTGAAATTGCTCTTCATTTTCCTGTTATTTCGTAAGAGCAAGTAACACCTTGAGATGGAAATGCCTCCCCATCTGCACCATCTCCCAGTTCATGCTGGGATGCTAATGAACCTTCTGATGAAAGTGTCCTGCCCATGGCAGGGGAGTTGGAACTAGATGACCTTAAGGTCCCTTTCAACTCAAAACATTCTGATTCCATGATTCTGTCATAATGCACAACTCATTTTCCTTGAGTATCTCCTAAATTTCTTGTATACTCTCCTATAGAAGTCCTTACCTTTAATATTTTAGTCTAAAGAATCCTCCAAGGTCTTAGATTTTTCCTCCCTCATTCTGTGTGCACCTTTCAGGCTGATATTGAAAGCTCTGCCACCAGGTTCACCCCCATGTGTTTAAAATTACCCCATGAGGTAATTTTGCTTGTGCAGCTGGATGCTGCTTGGGGAACAGGAGCTCCCCTTTACTGCAATGCAGCTGGGGTGGAAGTTGTCTTGCTGGTCTTCAACCTGTGACAGTGGCTGAGTTGTCACTCTGGGCTTCCTTCAGAGGCAGTGAACTTTTTTTTCCCCTTCTGCTGGATGCTGTGCTCTAAAAGTGCCAGTTTCTTTCCATAACTATGAAGGGAGTCTCTTTCCAGCATGGAGAAATCACTGTTCTGCCACACATGGGGATCACCCACCACCAAAACACCTGGGGGAACCTACCTGCACATCCCAGCTCCACGTTTGATGCTGTCTTATCCTCATTTTCAAGAGTATCCCACCCTCCCTAATTTCCTCCAAGTCTATCTGTCTCCCCTGGCTATTCCCCTAAGGAGGGTGAGGTCCTGCAGCACGCAAAGCCAAAGGAGGATGCTGCAAAGGAACCTTAATGA